TCCCTATTCCTATTGGTCGTATAGTCATAATGGCATGGTTATATTTAGTATTTTGACCCACTTTTAGTGCAACTAATTTGCCGTCATGGGTGGGAGTGTGTTAGGGGTACCTGACAAGAAATTTCAAACTTCACAAAATAGAATAATTTATACATCAAAATAATCAGCAAATTATTTGTAATTTATTAGTAAAAAAATCATGAAAATCGACCAATGCATTAAATTTCCATAATTTTTTACAATATTTAATTAATGAACAGTTTAAGAATAGGCGTTTTAATGGTAAAGACAAAAAATGTTGTGGCAGATGGGTGTGAAAATTGTATAAAATAATTATAATCCTTATTCTTGCTGTTAAACTTAATAAATCCAAATATCTCTGACATGGTAAGCCTCCCGGTACATTTCCAGGACAAACCATGCCTCTAACCTCTACCCCGCCCCTCCCCACCCCTGAGGGAACCTTTTTGCTTCTCCAGCACCCCCTTGACCAGCATGTCATTGGAAAGCACTTTGCTTCATGAATTTAAATTATTTTGTTTATTTGCAAATATAAAATACATAACTGTTAAAATAAAGATAATTATTATTATAGTTATATATACAGTGAAACTGAGATAAAAACCGACATTAAGTTATCTACCATCTAGAGGAAAAACATGTCCACCTGATTGGCCAAGCTACAAAATGTACCCTTAGCCTATTAATATTATGAAGATGTTTTGGTGGATGACGTCACTGACGACGGCTAAATTAGAAAGAATTTTCCATCTTCCAAGAATCGCCTTCTAATATACTTATCATAAACAAATACCTAGATATAAGTGACAAATAGTACTTAATGTATCAATATTTAATGATATATCTACTACTTGTAATATCTTTGCATAAAAATACACAATGAATCCAAGTCTATACCATGAACAGAAATAGCTACGTATAACACTGTGTTTTGCCTACATGGCGATCAGGGCCTAGGCATGTATTTTTGAGGACGGCCTAAGTGCACCTTCCCATTCCCTAGTGGAAAATAATATACTGTACCAACTTATCTTCTATGAAAAAATAACGTATTTTGTGATGGTAAATATTTAGATGTCTGGCTCTCGCGATAAACCGATTTGGAGAAAAAAAAAATACACACAGTGGAGAACACAGTGGAGAGTTGGCAGGTGTACATGCTATAAATATGTATTTATGCTAACTGCATGTTCCTACCTACCAGGGCCGCCTCTAGGCCTATTTCAATTTTCATACATGGCATGTTTCTTTTGGCTCCATAGTAAAATTATTGTTTTATATTATTACTTAATATTCAAATATGATACAAAATGATACCTACAAAATGTCTTGATGCTTATCAAAACAACCCATTGCAACATAGACACAACTATATGATTCTGAGTTTTTGCTACATCTACAAGCCAGAATTATTGCAAATTCTATTTGAACTATTAGATCTATTGACACTATATTCACATTGCGGTTGCGTTACTGCAATGAAATTGAAGCGTTAAAATTATTGAAGCACTCTCCAACAGGAATTTTTTCGAAGAAAAGTGTCGTGTAAGGGAGATCAGGGGATTTGAAAAGGACCACCTGGTGCCTAGATAAACAGAATTGGACAATTTTTGGGCATTTTGTACTGTTTTCTGACATTTTAACTTGTTTACGCAAGCAAATTTTAGAAAAAAAAAAAAAAATTAGCCAAGAAACATAAAAATATATTAAAATACTGTACTTTTTTTCTGTATTTCCTTCACTATCATGGCATTGACATGAATGAATCAAACTACTTAGCAACCTATGTTTAACCTTTGACCTTTGCTAGCACATACATATTAACATCTCTAATGACAAAACCATGAGAACAAATCAAGCGTAGCTTTCATTAAGTAACATATTCATTAAAATCTGATTAAAATACATGTTTTTTTATAGTACAAAATTTGTCCCTGGTTAGTACCATAGTAAGAGGTATTCATTAATGTAAATAGTTAATCAGTAATAAACATTAAAACACAAAAGTGAGGCAGTCAAGTGATTTTTTTTTGTAATGATAGCAATGCATATACTTGAATTACGGCCGTTGTTTTGTTTATTATTGGTGATTGTGATTACAAAGCCGCCACTGTGAACTGTTGTGTTGAAGAATTAACACTTGCATGGCATCTCCCTGCTGATTCTCAAAAAAAAAGACGACAGAGTGTTCAACCAAACACAAACACAGTTGAACGTCAACGTGTTTACCACGTTGAGAAATTTGCTATAATTATGTCCAAGAAAGCACATGGTTTGTAATAAGAAATATTGGATTACTATCTTTTTAATCTTTTCTTCATTTTGAACAGTATTCCGTGCCAATCTTGGTTGGAGTTTGTGTTCTTGTAGGTACAGTGGTCTTCAAGAAGTATGTCCTCGGCAAGAAAAAGAAGGGGCCTCCAAAGACACTCCAGAACCCAGATCTCAAGTACACCCTTCCTCTTGCAGACAAGGAGGTATGTAGCATTTGCGATTCTTTGTTTGGATGTACTGCGTTTGTAATCAGCGTATCTACTTCTAATTATTTTTTAGTGGAGGGGGGTGGGTGTGAGGGTTTGTTATTTTCCTTCTACCATAGCCTATATTTAGAGTAAATAAATTTTGTATCTTTAACTTTAAATATACGTGTATATAAGTTTTGTATCTATACATTTTTATTTGAATATTATGCATGTATATAACTATGTGAAATACCTTTTTTTGTATTTTATTTGTATTCCATGAATTCAACTGTGTATCATATTTATAGTATAATGCTTTGTCCATCCTATCAAATTTTATGTGACAAATTTTGTCTGATGTGTGCCCATATATGGGCATGATGATGTCATAGTATTCCCAAATATGGGCATATCACATTTATAATTTGATTGTGTTTTATATTTAAGGTTTAATAAATAAAGTAAATTTGTATGAATTTGAAAAGTTAAGTATGTATGATTGATTGAATCAAATGATCAGTGTATATAAATAAATGCACACAAAGACTATTCTAAAGATACACTATTTAGCTAGTTTTTTATCCAGTTTGTCTTTCACTTTGCCCATTAATTTAAATGCATCATTTTATTTTCTAATGGAAGGGAGATTTCTGTCTACATTGCATTGTACAATGTGTGGCTTTTTTTTGTAGAGCATGGTCAAAACATGGTGATACAAATTGTTAAACTGTTGAGAATGTTACCATTAACACTAAATAGATATACATTGTGTTGATTTTCTTCTTTAGGTTGTGAGTCCTGATACCAGAAGATTTAGATTTGCATTACCATCAGCTGAGCATATCCTCGGCCTTCCTGTTGGTTAGTACAGATTATTATTGCATTTTTTATGTTTTCATTCTCAGTTTGATATTGTGCCATTGTGTTTTTTTTTTCTAGATCAAAAAACCATATCATTTGCATATGGAATATGCAAATAAGATAAAGCCAGTGATAGTTAATAATGCTGGTACTGTGTAAAATTTGTGCCATCATTACCTTTACCTTCCTTTACTGTGCAAGGTAAACTTCTCTAGGGGGTTGCACCAGCCTTCCACTTATATGCTTCCCATTGGACATGCTCTTCTGTTAAGCAGTCATTGTCGCCCAGTTATAATAATTATAATTGCATGTTTATGCTTGTAATTTGATCAGAATGTAATTTAATCAGAATGTAATTTTTTTGGAAATGACATTTAATCTACACAAAATCTACAGCATAGATGATTACACTTAGTGCCATTAAATGTTTAAAACCGCCATGTGCTTGACCTTGTCATACACAGTCGCTCATTAATTTCAGTACTGGTATTTTTAGTAAGTGGCATTGTGGTAATGTAGCAGCGTAACACAAGGGGCCCTAGGATATTAATTAAGATTTTTTTTCTATGGACCCTGGGCCCCAAAATGGCTTAGTGAGCCTTTTAATGAGCATATAGGGAACAGTGTGACCCACACCACACTGGTGGGTAGGACCCGAAGAATTTTTGACCAGGGCCTCAGGAATTCTAGTTACACCACTAGGATGATGATGTTAATGTTTGGACAGTAAGAATTGAAAGCCAAACATTGCATGGTCAAACCAATTTGTTGAATTTAGACCAAGTCAGTATCATATCATATATACATTAAATTGCAGAATTCCATCTGTGTAAACATGCATATTAGTATCAGTATAAGAAACCAATATATATTGCATAAAAAAAGAATACATAAATAGCAAATTAATGTATGTTTACTAATATTCATATTTAATTGATTGAAATCAATCAATAATTTATGCTTCCACTGCTCTTGTTATATAAAAAGAAGAGTAGAAATATGTTGAATACAAGCTGTTGGAACTAAAAGAATTAAAGATATGTGTTGTGTTGTGTTGTATTGCGCTGTGTTGTGCTATGTTGAAAAATTCAATGCAATATTGAATTGCTTAGTTATTAAGTTAGTTATTAGCTTTCATTTGAAAATTAGAATGAGCAATCTTCTATCTTGCTAATAAACATCTGTGGCATATCTATGAATCCCAAAATGGGGGGGACCTGATGGGGGTGCAAAGGTGAAGTGGGGAGGCGCTAGGTGAAGTCAGGGCCGTTAGGTAAAGTGGGGAGCGCTTGTTTGCAAAATAAGATGATATAAGGTGATTTTTATCTACTTGAACATGATTTTTTTGCTTTGAACATTTTCAATGGGGAGATTGAGGGTGCAAGTTATTTTAGGGATGGGGAGGGTGTGCATCCATGATCCCTCACCTAGATATGCCACTGATTGACATTTGTAAATAATACAATTTCTATAATCTTTGCATTGGACCTTAAGTTGACCAGGATTACAAGTTTAATGTTCTACATATTTGTTATAAACTTCAAACTGCTTTCCTGATGATGACATAATTAATGTCGAAATATTGAATCCCAACACGATGGCGTGTATTTCAATACTTGGAGTATGTATTATACTTTCTTATCTGAGATTAATCAGTGGACCTTTCGGTTTCAAACTGCTTTGTTCAAGTAATAATAATAAAACTTATTCCTATTCATATCTGCATCCAATTTATAAAGACATCTGACCAGCATGGCTTAAGTAATAGGGGTGCAGATAATTAATTAACTGAACCTTATACATCTATTCTAATCTTAGAAATCTTTCAGTTTTATATTTAGGTCCCAAACTTTGGAACTCGCTCTTAGCCAGTCTCAAAACTAAACCACATATTTGTAGTTTCAAAACTAATTTTAAAAAGACTCTGATCTTTGTATGGTAACTTAAACTGTGTCCTCCTTTATACATCTTGCCAGCTCTCTTTTTGTCTTATCTTAATTGTTGTTATTGCTGATATTATTGTTAGCAAACCTATTTTTAGGTAATTGCAATACTTTACAATATTAATATTGTTTTTAAGTGTTAGTTTAAAGTTTATTATATTATAGGAGTAATGTTTAGCCCTACCTGATGTATTATCATGCTGAACACTCAGTCTGTTCCCAAATACGTGCAAACAAAAATTGCAAGTGATTTGAGAAGGAATCGAACTCACGACCTCCACCTCCACCTCTTAATTTTGCTTTAAAAAAGAAAATGTTATTAATTATGTGATTGTCAACAGGTCAGCACATATACCTGTCTGTCCGTCTTGACGGCAACCTCGTGGTCCGTCCTTACACACCTGTAACCAGCGATGATGACAAAGGCTACATGGACCTTGTTATCAAGGTAAGCATCAGGCAGTGTACAGCCCATGCTACAATATACTAACATGACAGTACTGTTGGCCTTTCAAAGCTCACTTTCTTTTGAACACAAAATGCGACTCATTGTTTGTATTCTTGTAAAAATGATGGCTTGTACTAGATTCACACAATACAATATTTTACATAGGACGTGAGCTTATATGTAACAAAGATTTCCTGAGACTTTCCCACTAATATCTCTGAACTAAACTCAGATCTTTGCTAAAAGTGCAGACAGCCAGATTAACATAGGGGCATTTGGGGGCGCCAGGCCCAGGCCCACAGGCCCCAATTGGGAAAAATAGGCCCCCGAACCCCAGGAAAAATCACAGAAAATCTGTATTTAGGCCCACTTGCAATTACAGCCCCAGGCCCCACATCCCTTTAATCCAGCCCTGCAGAGAGTGCAAATATGTGTGAGGCTACAATAAAAGATAAGCTCCGCCCTGAGAGCATGCAGACAAATCAGTACTATGTTTAGCAGCCTCTGTAATACATGTTTTTCTTAGACGGATATTACGATGACCAGATGCAAATTTTACACGGATGAGCTATCACATGGAAGCGATGTAGCAGGAAACACTTGCTAAATTATTTCTGACATGCGTCCCTTGTTCCATTATATAATTAATGAATACACATAGTCAGAATTAATGTATTATTAATTAGTTAATTGTTATTTGTTGTACAGGTGTACATGAAGGATGTCAACCCAAAATTCCCAGCTGGTGGTAAAATGTCGCAATACTTGGATTCTATGGAGATTGGAGATGGAATTGATGTCCGAGGTCCAAGTGGTCGCCTTATCTATAATGGAAAGGGTAAGGTTAGCAAATATAATAAGATTATTGATAATAAACTTTGTATAGAGACATTATAGTAATTTTACATGGGCCAAGCTGTACCAGGGAATAATGGCATAAATGCCACTTTTAATAATGTGAACTATAACCTATATTTTTTAAAGAGCAATGGTACAAAACCACAGACTTCTATGCTTCAGCGCACACACATTGGTTACCAAAATGTGTTATGCTGCCTGCCACTATGCTTTGCTGATTCAATGCACTGATTTTAATATTTCTATTAACTTGTTTACAGGTAACTTTAGTATTCGTCCTGACAAGAAATCCCCACCTGAAACCAAGACTGCCACCAAGGTTGGGCTTATTGCAGGTGGTACAGGTAAGTTGTTATAACCTGTTATTTTGAATTCAAATTCTAAACTAAACTAAATACAGTGCTTTACTGTAAATAGTAATGCTGGTTGGTGGCCATTTTACACACACATTATCAAATTATATGACAAATTTCTGTGATTTGCTCGTAAATGGATATGATATAAAATGTCTTGTCCATATACTGTATGGATGTGATAGGATATCATCATGCCCATATACGGGCAGTACTTATAGTTGATTGTGTGTTTTAGGTATCACTCCCATGTTGCAGTTGATCCGTGAGGTGTTCAAACACCCAGAGGACAAAACTGAACTCTGGCTCCTGTTTGCTAACCAGGTAAGTTTGGTTTTACTATAACTTAATTCATGTCACAGGAATATGTATTTATTTTTGTACCGATATATAATGATGGATGACTCTTACAAACCTTGGTATTTCACTATTAATTTACGAAGTGCTTTATGTTTACAAAATAAAAGAAAACTATATTTATTCATTAAAATTAAATTGCAGACTAAAGTACAAAATAGGAAATCAAACAAGAAATTTACCATTCACAAAAAATAACATAAATGTTTATAATAATATATGTATAATATTAATATTTATTGAAAAGGAACATAAATACAGTGTATTTTACTATTTTGTGATATTATGAAACAATATTTATATAGAAAGTTAAATGTGTGGGTAACTACAGCACGCTAAATGTATATTTTAACAGACAGAAGCCGACATCCTTCTTCGTGACGAGTTGGAGGAGATTGCTAGTGAACAGAAATCTCGATTCCATCTTTGGTACACTCTTGATAGACCTGACGAAGGTAAAAATTTATCTACAAATTGCCATTCAGTTTATAGTATTCATGTATCTTGATTAAACATTTAAAAAAATGCCAAATACTGTAGAGTATATTCATTGTATTGATTATATTATTTCTGATAGCTTGGAAGTACAGCTCTGGGTTCATTAATGAGGACATGCTGAAAGCGAGAATGCCACCTCCTGGTGACGACACCTTAATACTGATGTGCGGGCCACCACCAATGATCAACTATGCCTGCCAACCTAACCTGGAGAAACTTGGCTATGCAGAGGACAGGCGTTTTGCATATTAAACCAGGTGCATCATAACACCTGTTATTTCCCCACCTGCTTAAGCCATAGAGGGCATTATATGTTTAAATTTTAAAATCATTTTAGTATAATTCTAGATTTACAAAAGTGTACTAATCAATTATTTTGATAACTCAATAGTTAATTGGTATTTAATTTTTTTTCTGGATTTAAATTAATTTTTAAATTGTGCCTTCATTCCCAGATTAAATTTGTGGCTAGGAATTGACACTTTAAGAGGTTCCACAACTACAGATGTAAGATGTTTGAGCCACAACAGTCATGCAAAGTTTTTAGATGTTTAAGCCACGTAGTGGCTTATGGTGTGAACTGAAATATTTATGTATTGAATAACTCTTTTGTTTTTAAGAAGTTAATGCTATTTTTTATTCCAAATTATTTGCATTTTGGATAATTAAATAATTTGAGAAATGTAATAAGTATACAGCAGAGAAAATTGTTATTGTCTAACCAATTTTTTTTTTTTTTTTTTTATAAACAGAAATTTATTAACATTTCATTACATTAGTGATAGCTTAAAGCATCTCATAAGCAATAAATTTGTTTAAGATAAGAATTATGTGCCATAGAGCTAAATATTTGCCATATTAATTCCACCATCCAAGTTATAATTAAGCTTTCTTTAGTCTTCCATGGTGGTGGTATTAATTAATGAATAAATAAAAAAAGCATTGAAAAAAATAAATATTGATTGATTTTTTTTTTATGTCCACTTGGGTTTCATATGATTATACAAACCTACATATTGGGACCAAAACATTTAAACCAAAATTTTACAAAACAAGATAGATAGATATTATCTGAACACAAGTAAGTAAAAATAGTAGCTCTGTTTTTTTCTTATTGCCGTTATAATATTTTTCTTACCTCAGCCCCAGCCCACCATCACCATGGCTGGGGCTGAGGTGGTATAGACCCTCTATCTATGAAAGTCCCTCCTTTAGCCCAATCTATTTCACATTCCTGGATCTGCCACTGATATTCCAATAAATTTTCAAGAAACAATATCTGGTATTACACAGGCCTGGAGCACTGGCTCCTCCAGCACCACCCTCTCGGTGCAAAAAAATCAATGTTATTTTCCCATTGTAAATAGGCAAGATTATAGCTAGGAGGGGCCAGTGGTGTATCTAGGGGGTGCGCAATCCCCAGTCACACCCCCCCCAAAAAAAATCACCTTATTTTGCAAGTTGGCGCCCCTAACTGATCATCGAGCCCCTCACTTCAGCTTCACGCACCCCAATTTCAAGACTTCTAGATACGCCACTGGGAGGGGCTAAAGTGAGTGAGTGGGCGATCTATCTCTGAAAGTCCCTACTCTGGCCCACCATTGTTTATGATGCATTTTGCATAATTCATTTGTAGGACCGGGTGGTGCAGGTATACAATAACATACGTAAATCAACTCTATATTAAGAAACATTCACAATCAAGTACAATATAGTGATTTATTCATATATTCTCTTAATGTTCATAGATTGCATTTTATAACCTGCACATATTAAAAGCTATGATTAATAAATGTATTATTTGTCTATTTTTTGGAAGTTATAGGTATTTGAAGTACGAATAAAAAAATTTAATAGTAAATAAAGGTATATTAAAAACTATAAAATTAAGACAAATTAAATGATATAATGCTGACAAACTAGATGTGGAAGAAGAATCACACAAATCAAAATCTCTAGGAAATACACCATGGGATTAAAGAAGATATCAAATTAATGACGAATTAATTCAGATTCTTTTAGATGTTTAGGATTTTTTCCACAAACCTTGCACAATAAATTTCACAGCATTGGTTATCAATCCATTTTTCTCTCAAATTCATTTGGAAAACCAAATTTATATTAAATGGTTTTCTATTCAAATTCTAAAACTGTTAATACCTCCATCTAAGGAAACAATTATAATTTTAAAAATGTCCATTATTTTGATCAAACATTTAGTTCTATAACATTTTTGTTGTATCACTGTTAAGGAAATAATTTAGAATTTAAAAATTAGTTTTAAAATGGTTATCACAGTGTGTATACAATAGCTTGCCACTCTTTGACACATCATTTAAGTAGCAAATCCAAGCATGTACATCAAATTACAGTAAAACATCCATTTTATGAACATAAATTTTTCAAATAGTATTTGCCGCTGATAACGTCATCATCGACCAATTATTACCGTAAAAAAAGTATGATTGCGCACATTTTACAAAGGGATAATGTATATTTCTCTTAATAAAATCAAGTTTGTTGTATTTATTTATTAACATTTCAATCTTTTCTTCCATTGCTTGTATAATAATCACTATATTAATGTAATAAACCTAACCAGAACAACGAACTACCAACGCAAGTGTTGTCGGATTGAGCGCACATGTTTACGATAACAAATGAGAGTGTTGGGGTCAGCAACTTATTGACATCGTTAATGCTAGATATAATTGGGAAATGCACATGTAAACAACAAAGTTCAACGACTAACAACTAGAATGAACACGATAGAACGGTCCATAAAACATACAGATGTTTGAATAAGATTAAAAATAATAGTGGAAAAATGCCAGAGATTAAAATAATTTGGTTTTTATTGAAGGTAAATTCAGCTAGGCCCTTGCGTGGTATTCCCACGCTGCTAGGCCTAGCCACCGTCAACCTATTGGCGCTCAATGGCAGGGGACAGCTAGGCCTAGGTACTGGAAAGACTCCTGATTTAGCTTACAAATTTTTTCAATTTACAAACTCCCCTTGGTACCAAGGGGTACGTAAAATGGACATCTTACTTTGCTCATGGCATTGTAAACCCTGTTAACCTTGTTATTAATATAATTCACACTCTCAAATATATGCTACATCATTGGTGGGATTCATAATTAAGAGCTGCTAATTAGTTTTCATCGTCAGACTCAGGTGGTGAAGGAATAGGTGTTGATGCACGAGAGCTGTTTGGTGATGGCGGTGCTGAAGCTGCTCGAGGGAACCGGAATGACTAGAAAATATAAACAACTGAATTAACATCATAAAAATTTAATTACTGCAGGATAATACCTAATATTTTAATGAAAAAAAAATGTTATATCATTATATCGTTTTATAAGAAAAGTGCAATAATCTAGTTTTAAAGTTAAGGCCTCTAACAGTTTCAATTGTACATGACTGTGTCAAAGGTTAATGTATATAAACATACACTTAAATGGCTTACGATAGCATATGCATTTTTATAAAGCTTTATTATCTCTGTCAAATGAGGTTATTTTTTTACGCTGTCAATAAGATTATGCAAAAACTAATGAATGGATCATCATAAAATTTAGTGAAATGGTACATAATAATCAAAGGTGCCATTTAATTTTTGGAAGGAATTTCTGATTATTTTAATTTTGTGCAATCTTAGAGGTGCCTTGACTTCATTCTGCAGAGGCTTGATTATGATTTTGAAGCATTAAATCATTGACTAGGAATTGAAAACATACCGGTGGACCATCACTATCATCAACATCAAACAGCTCTGGGTAGACTTTGTTTAGTACCAGCTGTCTTGACTGCCGGTAATACTATGAAGAAAAGAAGAATGATTGTATATCAGTACTACATTATAATATACACAATAATTGGTCATATTTACACATAATTGTGATTTATGCATTTATTTCCAAATATCACTTATCTTATTTCTGCATCTCATAATTATCATTTCATATTTAATTAAGGAATGATCATAGGCAAATAATGACTTCAAAAAATTACTAAGAATAATTAAGCACTGTCTTGCAGGATACTTACAACTCCAAGATTTTTCCAGTCTAGTAGATCACTCAGACGTTCAGTACGATTACGTTGAAGGATACGCTGTCTTCTTGTCAACCGTGTAAAATCAAACATGTACTAAAAACATAAAAGTAAATAATTTTAAAAATTGGTAGTGAATAAATGGAAATATAACTTTCTGGCATTCTGATTTGAAATCTATTTACATTATTCATTTGAAAACTTCATTGTTTAGGTTCTCAATGCAATGAAAAGAAAATGAGGTGGTGTATATATGGCTGTAGAGTAGGTTATTCAGGATGCAAGGGGCTGACGGTTCGAAGTACTTTCAAAGGAGTGTTCTTGTCTAAGAGAGAATCGTTAATATTCACTAAACAACCAATTATTTTCAGTTTAATAGCTGGTAAAATCTATTCATAATTTATAATGAACATACAACCTTTTTGACACTTACAAATTCCTAATTGAAGATGTGAATTGGATTGTACTAAAATAAGTAATTAGAAACTAACCGATGCCAACTGTTGGACCGATTCTTCTGGACTCTTTGTTCGTCTGTCAATGATATAGATACCATAAGACGTGGGGTCTGCAATCTGCTGCGCCATGAAGCACCCGAAACCAGACAAATTACTGGTGACGCTTGGAATCCCCATCACAGTACACTCCGCTATAAAAACATCAATGAATAATAGTATTAAGTAAATAATAATATATAAAATAATGCTATAATTTCAATAGATGAGAGGACTGACACTAACCTGGTGTATAACCCCAAGGTTCATAATATGAGGGGAAGACACCAAGATGGCAACCTCGAACAAACTCGGAATAATCACAAGCAAATAACGGATTAGTAGATGAAAGGAATTCTGGATGAAAAATGACCTGGAACAAAGAAAATAAAATTAAATGTTTAACAAGATAATAAAAATGAACAACATATAGAGTACACAGTGTTAAGTCACGATACCACATGATACTACTCCCTTGCTATCGTTGCAAAATGGTTTCAACCGGACACCATTTTCGCCACTGACAAACCATTGTTTCAAAAACAAAATTTCAAACTAGTAACTTGTTCAATGCCATAATGGTGGAGGGATAGAAACTATGTAGAGATCTACCCCTTCTGGTCACTAGTGATTGATATCGACAACCACTCTACATCAAAGTGAACAAATGGTTTGTATACAAATATACAATGTGTAACAGGGCAAAGTGTGTGTTTATATGATTTGACATTATACATACACATGTGCAAGTAAAACCAAGAGATGCCTTGTTCTTTCAGATAAGAAACTTAGTTTGGATGGACTTTTTTATACCTTGTTTAGCAAACAAAAAAAAGTCTGTGCTATAAGGCCAGTACTTTCCAACTTACTTTGACTCTATCATCTGGAGCGTTGAAGAGTTTGATTCTTCTGATATGAGACAGAACTGGATCCTTGTAGTCATCAATGACATTGTGGGTACAGACGGGTGGAAGGTTCGGCGTCTGAGCACTGTAGATGCAACGTTTCAATTGTACAATATCACTTGGGCTAAGCAGATCATCTCCTGTTGGTGTCTCTCCTCTGAAATAAATATATGTAAAATATTACTATCTTACTGTATTTATTAGAATAAACACCACAATTTAAATAAATGCCCCAGCCAAATAAACGCCCCCGCTAGGGCCTCATCAGGAATAAACGCCTTCCTTGAATAAATGTCCAGAGGTGTTTACTTTTTCCTCAAATAATAATGTCCCCCTTAAATGACTGACTTTAAACAAATCTAATTCTCAACACATTCTATCAATGTTCTACTCCAGTAGAATTACATTTTTCTAACCTGGTTAACCTGGTTACGATCAGTAAGTCTTTATTCTGGTGGCAATTATATGTTGTAGTACACATTTACAGTGAAATAAATCAGTGTTTATTTGAATACATACATATACATTTTACACAAAGAAAAAACAAACACCTCCCTCGAATAAATGCCCCCTCAAAAACTCTATCAACAATAAATGCCCCAGGCCTTTATTTGAATAAATACAGTATGCGAAATAAAACAATGTACACAACAAAACAAGAAATAGGAAAAATCTTGTACAAACTTCTTAATTTAATCAAGAGGGATTTCTTACCTAAGAGCATGTTCAAACACTCTCTTTCCGATTTTCTCTTGAATGTCAGAAACCGCTTCTTTCATCTGTTTACTGATAGCCTGGCCTCGGAGTGACTCTACGTTAAAGCTGTTCGTGCGAGCAGGGAAGATCAAGAAAGCTACTACTGTCATCTCAGACCCTGAATTCTATGTAAAAAAAATAGAATACAGGTAGAACTTTGTTGACTCAAATAATTTATTACACGGTTAAAGGTTATACATTTGTACTGTGCAAAATACTAGGTTCTCTATGCACAAAAACAAGTGAACAGATGTACATGTGTTAATGATTTGAAAAACAATACTGAAATCTACATTTATTTATATAAAAACAAGTACTGTACACCGTACTCGCGCGAATAAGCATCCGGGCGCTTAAAATATTTTTTGCACTTTTTGAGGGGAGCTTCTTCAAACGTGGTGCTTATTTAAACAGGGCGCTTATGAAAACAGAGTGGAAATTGAGGGGGCGCTTACGGAAATAGATGAAAATCAAGCAGAATAGCAGATGCAATTAGTGGTGGTGAGTAGTGGTAGCTTGTTGGCCATCAGCTGATTGAGATTAGCAGGATGGCAGGATCATTGCAGTTTTCTTGAAAACTCAGATGAGAATGTGCTAAAGGTGCAAATTGTCGGAAAAAGAAAAAGAGGAGTAGGATGAGGCCTAAACAAATATGTAAGAAGAGGAAAGTTGAAAATATACTGTCTGTCCAGGGATCGGTGCTCTCATCTCTTCAAGAAAAATATCCTCATTTTGATATATCCTCATTTTGATGTTGACATAAGAAGAATGTGATTCCACTCTGCAGCTCAAATTGTACCAACAATCACAGTCCCAGGATTGATTGGATTATTGACTTACTAAAAAGAAAATCTTATGATATTATCGAGGGGGGCGCTTATTCAAACAGGACGCTTAAGGAAATTTTTACGTTAGGAGGGATGCTTATTCAAGAGGGGCGCTTATTCAAACAGGGCGCTTATTTGCGCAGGTACGGTACTAGGCAATTTGCAAATATTACCACCCCCCGAGTTTGAGAAGATTTTGGACAATTTCTGTATGTTGGGCATATCAGACGACCCAATTTCACTTTGGAATTCTTACTTTGTGAGTGCGGACATAAGAATGACCTGAGTTTTAGTTGCTGAATCTGAGAAAGAGAAGATTGTAGTAGGGGTAAACTAATGTTGCCAAAGACTCTTGCTTACCTTCATATAATAGTTGAGTCTCGCTAGCGATTCTAAAAATAGATCAGCACCTTTGTTGGAGAATTCATAGCGGCCAGCAATGAAGAAATACAATGTTTTATCAAGATTAAAGTTCAGATGTCTGAAAAAGAATTATTACATTTTTTAATTGATCACTCAATAACACATGTACCATAAGTCCCCAACAATTATGATCAAAACAATTACACTTGTTTAATATTATACTGTTTAGAATAGGTACACAAATCCTACAATATATGTGCTGTATAAAAAATATAAATTAATATTTTATAAATTATATCATTTGTTCCCAGTTTTTATATTTGATTGTTCAGTGTATAAAACAGCCCAACATCAGATCAAAGTTTACCATTGAACTCAGATTTCAGGTTCTTAGTGAGTATACAGAGGAAGATAAGAATGATGTTGAGAAAAAGTGGCACGATTTGAGGATTCTCACAAGGAGGCTGTGAAGAAGTACTAGGGTACAAGAAGAAAGGTCAGAAGCCATGAATCACTAAGGAGTCATAGCAACTGTTTGAGGAAAGTAAGAAATTGAAGAGCAATATTGAACAGACCAAGTCAAAGGCCTAATTGTAAGTCAATTGTAACATCATCACTGTAAATCCTAATGTTAGGTTCCTATCACCAACCATTCATCAAATTTCTATTAGTGCACGGTTTGCTTAATCTTTTTTAGGTTTGTGTGAAAAAGGCCAATTTAACTTGTATGTATAGTATTGCCATATATTCTAGGTGCAATGAATTTTAGGCTAGTTTTTTTACACCTAGCATTACAATGCGCACCTGGTTAGGTTAGATTAATGCTTTCAAAAAATTCCTTTGGCCTTGCAAGCCCACAAGAATATTTTTATGCATTAATCTAGCTTTCACATCCACTAGTGTATGATACGCAACTACTCTAATTGCTAAACGGTAAATATATATATGTTAGATGGCTTATGAGAGCACACAGCAGTTTTGTGAAAATGTTAATAATTATCGTAACTTACCCATGAAAGTGCCCTCTGACGAAGTCATTGATTTTTTCTTTGGCCTTTGCGTGAAGATTTTGGAATTCATGCATGGCTTGGAACTTCACTACATTCAAACCATTAGGTACCACAACATCTGAAAAGGCATTTAAGATAAAAATATGAAAAACTTAAAAAAAATCATTCAAAACAATGAAAAGCTCCTTTTAATAGTAATAGGAGCTTCCAATAAAACACAGATACATACAGTATGCCCCACACGCTTCCCCTAAATCTGTCGGCTGTATAATTCATGTTTACCTGGTTTCCTTTTTAGTAGAGCCTCACTTTCTATAGCAAGTATCTCAGAGACCGTACTGAATACATGGGCCATATGCACTGCTGCCCTCTCCATACAATAGCGATGGTAAATCCCACGCTGCCCAGCTTCCTTGTCAATGTCAAACTGGATAAAAATACAATCGAAAGTACTTTACATCTGCCACACTTCCTTAAACTAAACATTAAAAAATAGAAGTAATTTTTATAATGTTGGTCAACATCAATCATTATTTGTTATATATTAAAGACATTTTAATTAACTTTTAATTAATGAATTGTTTGTCCATTAATGGACTGTACAATTAGAAGGAACACAGACATTTCAACAGTCCGAGTCTATTTTAACTTGGATTAAAATTAGGAATTCTACAACCAATATCCCAAGTCTGCTTGCCTCAAATGAATTTGTAGTTCAATTAACTACTGTAAGTCATTTATATAATTTGTATATGTATTGACTTCCAACAAGTGCATGTACAGTTTAAACTACAAGATGGTTTATTGGTTTGTTAGGGCAAGAATCTGATATAGTCTGCACAGCATTCATGTGCAGTTTAAACTACAAGATAGCTTACTTTGTTTGTGTAGGCAATAAAAGCAACATAAACCTTTATCCAGATTATTATAAAAACCTACATTGCCAGCACATAGGTATCTTTCAAGCAATGTGGCATGCATTGTGAAGATAGTGCAAAAATCAGCCTGACATAGTCTGCACAGCAATCATGTGCAGTTTAAATTAAAAGATGGCTAATTTGTTTGTTTAACGCAAGAAAAATGACACAAACCTTGCCCAGATTATTATAAAAATCTACATTGCCAGCACATAGGTATCTTCCTAGCAATGTGGCATGCGTTGTGAAGATAGTGCAACAATCAACCTTGCGCAATCTGCACAGCATCAGTCCTATCCCTGACAGCCACTCATGGAATTGAGTCATGATCAGTGGTTTATCATCAGAATCAAAACCTGCACGGAACTGTTATAGGAAGAAAAAAGTTACAGATTGCATTTTCAAGAGAGTACAAAACATTGTTGTCAGCCCTCCTGTAAAAAATTAAATGGTAATCTTTTTTAAGATCATAATTTGTCTTTCGTGGATATACTGTAACTTCAAGAGCTTCTAACTGTTTAATATTCTTTAGTATCATTAGGTACAAGCATTTTGAAACCATTATTCCATTAGAAGGACTAAGCCTAAATTCTGATTTGACAGACTAAGGAACATAAACTTACATCGGATTTGGTTGGTTGGATTTATTAAGCGTGAAATACACCAAGGGCAAGCCTTGTAACTACAAAGGTGGTGATTTGGAGGGTACGCCGGGAGACAAACGCGTCAACATGTACAGCATCTATGTTGCACATGGGACTATAATAGCTTACACCTCTTATCCAGAAGACAGTGAAATATTAAAACTTGTATTTCAGCCCTCCAGCTAAACATCAAGGAGAGCAGTAATTCTATGCTCTAAGTTGCACCTAGGACTATAATAGCTTACAACTGAACTAGGGACCAAGATTATTCTATGCTCTAAGTTGCACATAGGACTATAATAGCTTACAACTGAACTAGGGACCAAGATTATTCTATGCTCTAAGTTGCACATAGGACTATAATAGCTTACACCTCTTATCCAGAAGACAGTGCACTATCAAAACTTACATTTCAGCCCTCCAGCTAAACATCAAGGAGAGCAGTGATACAACTGAACTAGGGACCAAGATTATTTAAAGGTCAAATAAAATACTGAAAGGTCCACTGATTATTGTCAGATAAGGATGTATAATACATATTTCAAGTATTGAAATGGAATTCTGGATGACAAAATTAATGTAGAAATACTGAATCCCAACACGATGGCGTGCATTTCAGTACTTGAAGTATGTATTATACTTTCTTATATGAAATACTATTTACATAATTATGACTCTTCGGATTGCCCTGTGAAACTAATAGTAGTATTTGTGTAGCATTAGAGTGATACATATATACATTTCCAGATTATATTGATTACCTCTCCAATAAACCACTGCACTAGATTTCCGAAAATAACAGCATCATTTGATTCCTTGTCATGCCATGGAATACCAATGTGTGCCAATTCCCAGAGATCCTTTTTCCACTGGTCTAGCATCCAAGCAGCTGAGCCAATATCAAAGAGAATGACATTCGGGTAGCCGTCTATCAGCCAACGGCCACACACAACCTAATTTATAGTAGAAGCATAAATGTAGATTATTGTGTTAATTTTATATCTTTTATTATACACACAATTGGATTTATAGAACAAGCATAAATTAATGGTAGTTATGGCCGTCATTTTATACGACCTTTTACAAGTACAGTAATAAATGCCATAACCAGTGGCACATCTAGAAGTCTGGGGGGGGGGGTGTGAATGTGAAGTGGGCACTCAATAATTAAGTATAGGGTCATTATCTCATAAAATAAAGAGATATAAGATGATGATGTTTTGCTTCAAACATTTACCTGAATGATGATGTTTTGCTTCAAACATTTACCTGAGGACGTCAGATTTTTTTGGGGGGGGGGGGGCATGCACCTTCCCCACCCCCATGCATCTCCTAGATACACCACTGGCCATAACATAGGTCTAAGTATCATGACTTACTTTCACCCCATTCTTTCTCATCATTTCAACTGCTCTCTTGATAATTGGATGTTCTGGCTCAATAACTTCTACTTCAGTTTTAATACAATTTTCATTACAAGGTCCGAGTAGAAAATATTGATCCCCCATCTCATCAACAGTGACACCTGCCTTTGATCTTATTACGGTATAAATTCCTCCGACTATGTATAGAAAGAGAAAAACATTCAATGGAAATTACAGTACATAGGCATAGTCTACATTTTGTTACCAAATTTAGGCCTTAATTTTTTTTAAGTTGATAAATTTATGCGAATGTAAACAAATGATAAAAAAAATATATTCACTGTCTATAAATAACACTGTGGATTCCTAATAAGGTATTACTTCACTGCATACTATTATAATTATTACAATAACATCGTAAATTTTAAACTTGGAGAAGTAAATAAAAGTAAGTACAATAAAATTGAAAAAATAATGAGATACTTCATAAACCAAGTTTCATTAAGAGGCTTACAGTAGGTAGTGGAGAAAGAAATCCTGTTCTGCACAGGATTTGAACCCAGGACTCTAAAATTGGAAGGCAATCACCTTAACTACCAATAGACCGTGGGTTGAGGATCGAAAACGTTCAATTCTGTGATGCACCAATCCGGGCTACCTGGCTTTTGCACAAAAATGTCAATACTATTAAATTGTAACATAATTTGATTGTCGGCAATCGTGAATTTGGGGAAACTGTAACCAAAAATGAGAATTTATATCAAAAGTTGCTACGTAACTATAGCCAATCAGAAGACGACTAACAATGAAGTTTGGCTTAGCTGCAAGGCCCTCCGCCAATCACAAACTACCTTCTATGCCGTTTGTCCAATGTAAATAGTAAACAACACACTCCACTTGCAAGTATGGCGTTGGCCAGAAGTTCTTCCAATGATAAATCTGAGCCGGTTTCAGGCATATTTTTGTGATACATGTTGTAAGAACCTAGAGTATGGTTGTGTCATTAAGCGTAAACAGCTTAAAAGAAATTTAAGGATGTGCAACTCTGTGGAAAACAACAAATACGAGTCCTCAGTGAGGCCTATTAAGTTTCCGTCGAAGCTTGTCTCTTATACACATCT